CACTACTGCAGTACTTTGAGGCAGTACAGATACTTATACACACATTACTGCAGTACTTTGAGGCAGTACATATACTTATACACACATTACTGCAGTACTTTGAGGCAGTACAGAGATATATATACAAATTACTGCAGTACTTTGATACACATTAATGCAGTACTTTGATACAGTACAGATATTTATATACACATTACTGCAGTACAGTGATATAAATACACGTTTGAGAGACCCAGGAAGTAGTACTTTGTGTATTTGTTCTCACCAGTTAGTGTCCACCTTCCCGTCCACCACCTGTTTGTAAGCCTCCATCAGAGCAGGTCCGTTTCTGCTCAGATTCACCGCCATGTTGCCTTCACTGACCCAACCACACACACAGAACACACAGAACACACAGTACACACACCTGGGTCAGAGAGTACTGAAGTACTGCATCGTTGAGATGGAGAGTACTCAGATCCTCTCCTGCTGATCCGGTCTGAGCAGAAACCTGCAGATCCACATTCTGCACAAAGTACTCACTCCGCCCAGAAAGTACAGCATGCTTTAATACCGGGGTGTGTTCCCTTCGGCACAGACACATCACAACTGCAGTACTGATACCACCCTGTAGAGTACTGTGAGGTTACATGGAGAGTGTGCCGTACGATGTATTCAAAGTACTTAATTTTAAAGAATAAATCAGCTCAAAGAACTCAAATGAAACCGGGATTGTGTTTTAAGGTAAGTATTGCTTAGACAGTATTATGAAGTTAAAGTACTTGAAGGAGTATTGTGTTTGCATTAAAATGTGTTTGAAGTACTTCAATATAAAATATAATGATAATATTAATAATAGGGATGAAACCCTCTGTAATGGTCACACATGCAGAGCACACAGCACAGTGACATGTGTTCTCTGCTTACATCAGGGGCAGCTATTGTACAGCGCCCGGGGAGCGATGGAGTGCGGGGGGTGGGGGGATGTCGGTGCCTTGCCTCAAGGGCACCACCGGCAGGCAGGAGGGTGGAACTGGGGACTGGGTACCGGTCGGGGACTTGAACCGGCGGCCCTACAGCTCCCCGTCCAAGCCCCTACTGACCTGAGCCACTGCCGGTCAAAACTGTAAAGACTTAAGTAAAGTAGTTAATACAATATGATTGTACAGTAAAGGATAAGTATCTGTGCAGCGTACATGTAGATATGAGTACTTAAGAGTAAAGAGTAATTATATACAATAAATGGAAGTTAAAGTAACTTAGAATAAAAGTATTTACTTATGCAGTGAAAGTATAAGTAGGTTTATGCAGTTTAATGAAGTTAAAGTAGCGGAGGGTCTTCAGAGGTGACTGCGTCAGGCACATTTTATGCCTTTTAGAAATATGATAACAATCCCCCTCTGAGCACATGTTTATTTTACACTCTTAACATTAGGTATAAGTACACTAAATACACACACACACACCACACCACACACACAGTGTTTTCTCAGGTGAGTTATTCCTTATCCTGTATGTCAGTGTAGTGGTAAGGCCCTTAGTGTGCAGAGCCATTCCAGCTACACACTCC